ATGACCACAATTTTCATGGTTAGGGTTTGGCATGACCACAATTTTCATGGTTAGGCTTTGGCACGTCTCCACTTGGCCAGTAAAGCCAGTACACGTGTCCAATATGAAGGCCCAGAAAGCCAGAAGAAGTAGACCAGAGCTGTGGAATTTGTGGTTCCTATTGGAATGCTAAATGGTCCTGGGACTAATAAATCCTAAGAGCAGCAAGGATAAGATCAAAGGGATTGATGTGGGCAAATCAAAACGGAGTCATCCAGATAGTGTGATTATAGAAAACATGGAATGAGATCAGTGTGTAGGCCAAACGTTCCTAAAGCAAATACTGGCTGCCTGGCTGTTTCAGGTTCTCACCTCAAAGTACTGAAATACGAAGCAGCCAGAATTCCAACTATTTCAGAAAGAGGTCAACAACATCCGCCATATTTCTTAGCACAGGTCTTGTTTAATGTTACGCCATTGATGTTTATTATTCTTACCTATTATTTGTATCTGAAGTCATGCTTTTCTTAAGACCGCGTGTGATTTCAGTCTGACACATAATAACTTGATTTTATTTGCTTCAAGCAGTGTGTGTTGACAGGTAATCAAAGCCTAAAACCATTTTGATAAAACTGAACTTCTACCAATAAACACACATGAAGAGCTTAGTCCTGGTGACAATACTGATGGGAAACGTCTTTTACTCAAAGTTGTTGGTTTGTTTTTACTGTTTCACAGTAGAGTATAACTTTTTTTTTTTTGGATGAATTGGATGGACTTTTGTTTTTTTTTCAGCAAGACTTACTATGTAACTATGAGTTGGGCTTGATATTACAGTTGAACATACGTTTGACCCAAACATCGGCCTGTACTGTGCCTTCCTGATCCCAGTATTGTGCCCTCCTGATCCCAGTATTGTACCCTCCTGACTCCCCCTGTGCTACGCCCTCCTGATCCCAGTACTGTGCCCTCCTGACTCCCCCTGTACTGTGCCATCCTGATCCCAGTATTGTGCCTTCCTGACTCCCCCTGTACTGTGCCCTCCTGATCCCAGTACTGTGCCCTCCTGACTCCCCCTGTACTGTGCCCTCCTGATCCCAGTATTGTGCCTCCCTGACTCTCCCTGTACTGCTCCCTACTGACACCCCCTGTGCTATGCCTTCCTGATCCCAGTTTTGTGACCTCCTGACTCCCCCTGTACTGGGCCCTCCTGATCACAGTACTGTGCCCTCCTGACTCCCCCTGTACTGTGCCCTCCTGATCCCAGTATTGTGCCCTAATGACTTCCCCTGTACTGTGCCCTTCTGACTCCCCCTGTACTGTGCCCTCCTGATCCCAGTATTGTACCCTCCTGACTCCCCCTGTACATTGCTCTCTTGATCCCAGTATTGTGCCCTCCTGATTCCCCCTGTACTATGCCCTCCTGACTCCCCCTGTACCGTGCCCTCCTGGCTCCCCCTGTACTGTGCCCTCCTGATCCCAGTGTTGTGCCCTCCTGACTCCCCCTGTACTGCGCCCTGCTGATCCCAATACTGTGCCCTCCTGACTACCCCTGTACTGTGCATTCCTGATCCCAGTACTGTGCCTTCCTGACTCCCCATGTACTGCGCCCTCCTGATCCCAGTACGGTGCCATCCTGACTCCCCCTGTACTGCGCCCTCCTGATCTCAGTATTGTGCCCTCCTGACTCCCCCTGTACTGTGCCATCCTGACTTCCCCTGTACTGCGCCCTCCTCATCTCAGTATTATGCCCTCCTGACTCCCCCTGTACTGTGCCCTGCTGATCTCCCAGTACTGTGCCATCCTGACTCCCCCTTTACTGATCCCAGTATTTGCCCTCCTGATCTCAGTATTGTGCCCTCCTGACTACCCCCTGTACTGTGCCCTCCTGATCCCAGTATTGTGTCTTGCGCCCCTGATCCCAGTATTGTGCCCTCTGACTCTCCCTGTACTGTGCCCTCCTGATCCCAGTATTGTGTCTTCCTGATCCCAGTATTGTGCTCTCCCTGTCTCCCCCTGTACCGTGCCCTTTGTGTTGATCAGTGTTTGGTTTATGGCATGGTTTCTTATGGTTTAAAATCTATTTTACTGACAGTACTAATAAATGTAGGTTTGATTCTATCAACTATACATACTTTAATTCTTGAGGGTAGGTGAGTAAATTGGGCCAGCCCTCCAAAGCATGTGATTAAGGTGTTCCAATTACCTCCATGGCCACAGGTGTATACAATCAAGCCCCTAGGCATGCAGACGGCTTCTACAAACATTGGTGAAAGAATGGGTCACTCTCAGGAGCTCAGTGACTCCAAGCGTGGTCCCGTGATAGGTTGCCACCTGTGCAATAAGTCCATCCGTGACATTTCCTGGCTACTAAAAATATTCCACGCTCAACTGTTAGTGGGATTATAACAAAGTGGAAGCAACTGGAAACAACAGCAACTCAGCAACCAAGTGGTTGGCCACGTAACATGACAGAGCGGGGTCCATGGCCGAGCAGCTGCATCCAAGCCTTACATCAACAAGTGCAATGCAAAGCGTCGCATGCTGTGGTGTAAAGCACACCACCACTGGACTCTAGAGCAGTGGAGACGTGTTCTCTGAAGTGACCAATCACGCTTCTCTGTCTGGCAATCTGATGGCCGTGTCTGGGTTTGGCGGTTGCCAAGAGAGTGGTACTTGCCTGACTGCATTGTGGCAAGTGCAAAGTTTGGTGGAGGGGGGTTGTTTTTCAGGGGTTTGGCTTGGCCCCCTAGTTCCAGTGAAGGGAACTCTTAAGGCGACATTTTGGACAATTTCATGCTCCCAACTTTGTGGGAAGAGTTTGGGGATGGCCCCTTCCTGTTCCAACATGACTGCGCACCAGTACACAAAGCAAGGTCCATAAAGACATGGAGGAGCCAGTTTAGGGTGGAGGAACTTGACTGGCCTGCACAGAGTCCTGACCTCAACCCCATAGAACACCTTTGGGATGAATTAGAGAGGAGACTGTGAGCCAGGCCTCCTCCCCCAACATTAGTGCCTGACCTGACAAATGTGCTTCTGGAAGAATGGTCAAACCTTCCCATAGACACACTCCTAAACCTTGTGGACAGGCTTCCCAGAAGAGTTGAAACTGTTATAGCTGCAAAGGGCGGAGCCAACTCAATATTGAACCCTACGGACTAAGACTGGGAGGCCATTAAAGTTCATGTGTGTGGAAAGGCAGGCGGCCCAATACTTTTGTCAATATAGTGTACGTTCTGGTTTGATAACTTGCTGGCTACAGGGTTCTGTAGTCAAAAATGTACAAATGTCTTATTTAAATCCTGGGAACAAAATATGTATTCTTATGTATATCTTTATATTTGATATTGAATATTTGTACACATCCCCTTTCAAGTTTGTACCCTTCTCCCCTCCATTTTTCTTATGGGATGCCCTTGCTCCTGCATTTTTGTAGCTATTTTTCCAGCCAATGGGGACAAGGCTGTTTTTAGGGGGACGTGAGTGTAGCACCCTCTAGTCTGTTACTAGAATAGTGTAGTGTACTGTAGGTAAAATCATTGTGTAAGACTCATGGTATTTGTGTGAGTCTGTGATTGAGGTCGGGTTATTGCAGGTAAGCTGGATGACTCAACAGGTTGTGGCTCTATCGCCTCCCCCCTGACTCTGGAGGGCCATACAACCTTCCAGAAGTCAGTGAGCAGGAAGGGGTGGAGATCTAATCTGCATATTCATGTGGGCCCAGCCAATCCCAGGCCCTGGTAGAGTGGTGGACTGGCCTATAAATATGGGAGAGTCAGGATGACAGAAGGAGTGCTGAGAAGACTGTTGGTGCCTGGGAGGGATCCCCTAGGTTTGGGGGGGGGGGGGGGGGTGCAGCCTCCAGGCTGGGCTTGGGCCTGCTTAGGAGGCTACATTCAGCAGTGAGGCTTGAATGGGATCGAGGCCTGGAAAAGCAGGGAGCAAAGAGGATGGTGAGTATAGTAGAACTCTTTAGAATCTACGAGGGGAAAGACTACCACATGTAGCAAGCTTTCTAAGGTCAGCACTGGGTTCAATCCATTATCCTTGTCCTCAAAGAACTTCTGAGAAACCAGGAGCGCTGGTAGTGCTTGCAGGCTGTGGAGCTGGCAGCAGTTCTACAGGGAGGGAGAGAAGATGTCTCTGCATGTAGCTACAATAAGTTAAGTTGATTCTTGAGAGGCTGCTAGTTCCTCGTCCATAAAGGGCAGCTGCCACTGATCCACAACGACAGATGGCTTTCAGGAAAAGAATAGTCCAGGATCTGCTTTAGTACATATGAAGGAAGTGCCCCCCTTCCATTGATTCAAGCCAAACTGGGCAACCCATCACCCTATTCCCTTTCCAAGTTGAATTCCCTTAATAAAACAACAAAACCAAGCCCATGGACTGGTCACTGTCTTTGGATGCAAGTCTGTGTAAAAAATATCTGTTGCCTGACTGTGCGGAGGAAAGCTTAACCACCTCCCGCCTGCCATATAGTATGACGGATGCAAGGTGGTTCTCTCGTTCTGGGAGGACGTCATATGACGTCCTCCCATTCTCACCGCGCATGTGAGGCTCAGGGAGCGCGCAGCATGGCGATCGGCGGTGCGCTGTGTCCCTCGGACACAGCGGATCACCGATCATGGAAAGAGCCGAAGATGTCGGCTCGGTCATGTGATCAGCTGTGTCCAATCACAGCTGATCACATGTAAATAGGGAAATGCCAGTGATCGGCATTTCTCTCCTCTCGAGCTGTCACGCTGACAGAGGTGAGGAGAACCGGTAATCAGCATTCCACGGAGGGGACATGTACACTGATCATCAGGGCACTGATGATCAGTGTGCCCTGATGATCAGTGTAGCCCCAGCAGCGCCACCCGTCAGTGTCCATTAGTGCCTTGTGTCAGTGCTCATCAGTGTCTTGTGCCAGTGCCCATCAGTGCCACATCAATGCCACATATCAGTGCCTACCAGTGCACATCAATGCCACATATCAGTGCCCATCTGAGCTGCCTTTCAGTGTCACCCATCAGTGCCAGTCAGTGCCACCTATCAATGCCAATCAGTGCCACCTATCAGTGCTGCCAATTAGTGCCGCTTATCAGTGCCAGTCAGTACCGCCTATCAGTGCGCATCAGTGCTGCCTATCAGTGCCTGTCAGTGCTGCCTATCAGTGCCAGTTAGTGCTGCCTAACAGTGCCAGTCAGTGCTGCCTAACAGTGCCAGTCAGTGCTGCCTATCAGTGCTGCCTATCAGTGCCATGTATCAGTGCTGCCTTTCAGTGCCCATCAGTGATGCCTGTCAATACCCATCAGTGCCACCTACCAGTGCCTCCTCATCAGTGCCCATCAGTGCCACATATCAGTGCCCATCAGTGCCACATATCAGTGTCCATCACTGCAGCCTCATTAGCGCATATCAGTGAAGGAGAAAAATCACTTATTTACAAAATTTTATAACAAAAACTAACAAACGTTTTTTTTTTCAAAATTTTCAGTGGTTTTGGTTTGTTTAAGAAAAAATAAAAAACCCAGAGGGGAATAAATACCACCAAAATACAGCTCTATCTGTCACAAAAAAAATGATAAAAATTTCATATGGGTCCAGTGTTGCATGACCACGCAGTTGTAACTCAAAGTGTGACAGTGCTGAAAGCTGGAAATTGGCCTGGGCAGGAAGGGGGTATAAGTGCCCGGTAGGCTAGCGGTTAAAGTGATACTAAACCCACAACAGTACAATCAGTCTGTATATGCAGTAAAGCATGATTGTTATACTCACTGTGGAACCTAAGGGGTTAATCCTTCGCATTGTGTAAAAAGGCTGTTTGATCCTGTCTTCTCTGATCCTCCTCTTTTTGAAATGACCACCTGATACAGACTGAATCCGTAGTCACATTCACATGCTCAGTTTGGTGTGTATTGCTAAAGAGGTTTTTTTTAATTTTTTTTCTTGGGAGAGTGCATGTGATCAGCACAGGGCCAATCAGAAGTGTCCAGACAGAGGGTCATGGGTTTCACATCCTCCTAGAGCACAAAGAAAATTCCTCCTACAAGCTTTAACCAGTGTTCTGTTGAAGTCACAAAACTGCTCTATACTGCTGATAAGAAAAGGGATTTAGCAGTTTATATTTACTAAAATAACTGCATTTCCATGTTCTGTGTACTGTGGGAGACCAGATATAGTGAATGCAGGGTCCGGGGAGTCCAGATATAGTGAATGCAGGGTTTGGGGAGTCCGGATATAGTGAATGCAGGGTCCGGGGAGTCCGGATATAGTGAATGCAGGGTTCGGGGAGTCCGGATATAGTGAATGCAGGGTCCGGGGAGTCCAGATATAGTGAATGCAGGGTTCGGGGAGTCCAGATACAGTGAATGCAGGGTCCGGGGAGAGCGGATATAGTGAATGCAGGGTCTGGGGAGAGCAGATATAGTGAATGCAGGGTCTGGGAAGATCGGATATAGTGAATGCAGGGTCTGGGGAGAGCGGATAGAGTGAATGCAGGGTCCGGGAGACTGGATATAGTGAATGCAGAGTCCGGGGCGAGCAGATATAGTGAATGCAGAGTCCGGGGAGAGCGGATATAGTGAATGCAGGGACCGGGGAGAGCGGATATAGTGAATGCAGGGTCGGAGGAGAGCAGATATAGTGAATGCAGGGACCGGGGAGAGCGGATATAGTGAATGCAGGGTCGGAGGAGAGCAGATATAGTGAATGCAGGGTCCAGGGAGAGCGGATATAGTGAATGCAGGGTCTGGGGTTTAGTAACACTTTATGGGTACCCACAACACAGTTGCCCTCATGAGGTTAGCGCTACACGTACTTTGTAAAAACAAAAAAAAGAAGAAAACACCGTGTATGAGTATTTATGTATTTTTTATTAGACATCTGTTGTGCATTTAGCTAAACTATATTCCACATCAGATGATTTCCAATTCAAGTTGCAACATTTTTTCAAACTACTCAAGTTGAAGTTTTCCTGGAAGGAAATCCACCCAGGGTGGGAGACCTCTTTTTACTTCTTCCACTTTAGTTTCCTCTCCGTTTTCTTCATTTTCTTCTTCATCGGCATCTCTCCTGGTAGAAGACACAGGTATTGTTAAATAAAACAGCGCTGAATATTATACAACAACTGTATTTTACTGGGACCAAAAAAGTGTATATTTAGGTCACATTGACTACTATTCTATGACCTCATTAACATGTTAAGTATCACCACACAGGGGGATGCCACAAACGTGCAGCTGTAAATGAATAATTAGTGGCCAGGCAGTAGGAAAAGCAAATAGAATTCTAGGATGCATTGCTGGAGGGGTCACCGACAAGAGGAAGAAGGTCCCGAATCCTCCATATAGATCTTTAAATCACTAGAGGGACCGCCAGCGGGAGAAAGGAGGTCCCGATTCCTCTATATAGATCTTTATATCACTAGAGGGATCTCCGGCAGGAGGAAGGAGGTCCTGATTCCTCTTTATAGATCTTTATATCACTAGAGAGATCACCGGCAGGAGGAAGGAGGTCCTGATTCTTCTATATTAGATCTTTAGTTAGACCTCATTCAGAATACTGTGTCCAGTTCTGGAGATCTCACTTACAAAAAGATATTGATAAGATAGAACAAGTCCAGAGATGGGTAACAAAAATGGTGGAAGGTCTGGGGGATGAAACATATCAGGAGAGACCTCAGGAACGTAACATGCCCAGTCTGGATGAAAGAAGGGAAAGGAGAGACATGAGTGAAACCGCTAAATACATCAAGGGGGTGAATAAGGTTCAGGAGGGCAGGATTGTCAACATGAAACCAAAATCAAGAACACGGGGACATGACCTTGAACTAACTGGAGGAAAGTTCAAAACAAATCTCAAAAAGTACTATTTTACTGAAAGAGTAGTTGATGAGGTAGTGAGCCAGTCAACAGTAAACAGCTTCAAACATGTGGGACAAGCATAGATCTATACTTGTTAACAATTAAAAAAAAAACCCAAAAAAAACAAAAAAAACGGGCAGACTTGTTTGACCAACTGAATAATCAGCAGGATCATTCTGATGTGTTCCATGCGATGGCACAGAGCTTTCTCATCAGTAAGTGGAGACAGCTAAAGCCGGCCATACACCAGGAGAATTTCATTCATGTGGAAATTCTGAAAAATCATTCAGCAGAACAATCCATCTCCCACTGTTGTGTCAAGAATTTTTTTTTTAGGTTTCGAGCCAATGACCCTAATGCTGCTAACTACTTAGCTCCTGCACTGCCCTTAACCACCTGACCTCCAGAAGATTTACCCCCCCTTCCCCCTACCTGACCAGGCCATTTTTTTCTATACAGCACAGCGTTACTTTAACTGGCAATTGAGCAGTCATACAATGCTGCACATAAATAACATTTTTATAATTTTTTTGCCCACAAGTAGAGCTTTCTTTTGGTGGTATTTGCGTTTTTTTTTATTTTTTGCAAAGGGCAATTCAAAAAAAATATAGATATTTTTTATTTTCTGTTATAAAACATATCCAATGAAAAATGTGAAAAAAATCAAATTTCTTCATAAAGGAAGGCCAAAATGTATTCTGCTACATGTTTTTGGTAAAAATATATATGTCAATATATTTGGGAAGAATATGTTAAGAATGTATATTTAAAAATATATTTTTCTTTCATGTGGGTGCTGCCATGGCTCTTCTTCTTAAGGGCCTGATCATACCTTGTGATTGGTGAAATGTGGTGGCATTCATTGTGAAATGCACCCCAATGCACCTTCCAATGGACCTTCCAATGGATAGGCTTTGCAGCACAATGATCGATGGACTTGCATGTACTATTTTCAGACAGTACACACTACATTGTGCAAGTCCATTGACAAGAGGTGTCATGGTGACATAACATCACGAACCACTTGCCTACCAGGTACTCTTCACCCCCTTCCTGCCTGGCCAATGTTCAGCTTGATTAGTGCTGTTGCACTTTGAATGACAATGTATTTCATGCAACACTGCACCCAAATGAATTTTGTATCTTTTTTGCACCTTTTTTAACAACATTGGAGCATTTCTTTTGGCTATTAATCACAACTGGGTTTTTATGTTGAAATGAAACCTATGCTTTGTGTGTTTGGGACAAACAAAAAAAGGGAGGAAAGTTTTTTTCTCTTTTTCGACATAATGTCATGGGTGAATGTGTCCAAAGATGGGTGTCATTCAAAGTAAGGCACCTCACACCTTTAATACATATTCTTTGAACCACAATAACAAAGAAGGTCTAACATGCATCGTTTTTGATAGCTAACATGCTAAACTGCAATGCAAGTCCATTGACAGGTTGTGGGCAATATAGAATGATACCACACCTGACTAACACACATAAAAAGGAGTTCACAATGCACTTAATTTGGAAGCATTGTGTGTCAGTCTGTGGAAGAGTACTGAAGCATGGACAAGCCAAGACAGAGGAGTCCAGCCACCAGAACTGCTCTCTCTGATGGGGACCTGAGAACCCCCTTTAAAATTGTGGCAAAATATGCACCTGAACAATCTCAAGGTTACACTATTCCTGTCCATCCACCACTCCCACCCCCACACCTGTAAGCTCACCAGATTCCACTCCTCATCACATCATCACACCCAGCTCCATCTGGAATTATCAAGTTGTTTGCAACCCATGGCACTCCTTAAAAGGGGGCACCCAGTCACCCAAGGGTTAGAAGCTCTTCTATTCAGCAACTGCTGTCATTGATGTCGTAGAAAGAGCAAACTGTTTCAGATATAGTCTCTGATGTCATTGTCTTATCCTGAAAGCATTGGCTTTCTTTTCATGACATGTTCAACAAAACATTCCTTTGCTTTTGTCCAGTTTTGTCTGGCGTTCTTTCTGTTTTTTCATCAGTGTTAGCGAAACTTTGTCTGTGTCACATTTAAAAAAAAAAAACTTTCGCAGTGTGACCCAGGAGGACCCCACTGCTGACACATCGATGACATAAAAAAGCAAGACTACAGTTTAAAAGTACTTGAGTAAGCCAAAAGCCTTCTGGGACAAACTTATTCTTGTGGACAGATGAGACAAGGAGATGATCCCAAGAAAGAAAAGGAGTAAAACATCATTCTACTTTTACCGAAAACTTTGGACTCTGAGGATTCCTACAAAGAAAAAAAGACACAGTATATACGGTCAATATATATGGAAGGATATGTTCAATGATGTTTTTTTTTTTGCATCCTCTGGCACTGGGTGCCCCCTTGACTGTGTGCAAGGCATCATGAAATCTGAGGATTACAATAAAAGGATGTTTTTGGGTCGCACTGTAGGGCCCAGTGTCAGAAAGGTGGAGTTTGCGTGGAGGTGGGATCCTGGGTCTTTCAGCAGGACAATGGACCCCAAACATCACGAAGGGAAAAAGCACTCAGAAAGGATGGAATAACAAAGAAGCGCTGAAGAGTTTGGTGTGAAGTGGTCCAGTTCCAACATGAGCCCAGATCTAAATCCCATTGAACACCTGTGGATGAGATTTTGGAAAATGCTTGACTGTTGGGAAAAGGAGTCCTTCCAATATAGAGAGACCTTTGGAGCTGTTTGCAAGTGGAGACTGTGGTCCAGGCCTTCCAGGTGAGAGGTGTCAGAAGCTTATTGATGGTTATAGGAAGCGACTGAGCCTTCAGTTGAATGTTTTCCAAAGGGTGTGCAACCAAATATTAAGTTAGACTGGGGTGCCAATAAACTTTTGTCCAACCCATACTTTTGGGGTTTTGTGTGACATTATGTCATATTTGGAGATGCTTTCTGCCTCTGTTTTTATATTTGTTTCCAATACATACAAAGGGGAATCTAAACATGTGTATAGCAAAATACATGTGTTTAATGCAATACCTTTTTTGTGTGGATGTACTTGATTTTAATAAAAAATATCTAAGTGACCTTTTTCCCAATTTCAAGGGGCCATGACAATTTGTATAACCACTTGCCTACCAGGTACTTTCACCCCCTTCCTGCCTGGCCAATGTTCAGCTTTTAGTGCTATTGCACTTTGAATGACAATTGTGCGGTCATGCAAACACTGCACCCAAATGAATTTTGTATTTTTTTTTTTTTTACAAAATTGGAGCATTCTTTTGGTGGTATTTAATCACAACTGGGTTTTTTTTGTTTGTTTTTTTGTTTGCCAAACAGGAAAGTTTTTTTCTCTTTTTCATACCCTGTCATGGGTGAGATGTGTTGGGGAGATGTGGTGTCATTCATTGTGAAAGGCACCTCAACACACCTTTTAATAGATATTCTTTGAACCACAATGAACAAAGAAGGTCTAACTTGCATGCATCGTTTTTAGATAGTACATGCTATTATGCAATGCAGTCCATTGACAAGGTGGGTTATGGTGACATTGAAATGAATGATACCACATCCTACTAACACACATAATGGAAAGTTCATCAATGCACCTGTAATGTGGAAGCATTGTCTGCAGAAAACTGGTGGAAGAGTACTGAGCTGGGATGGAGGGTTAAGCCAAGACAGGCAGGTCAGTAGTCCAGCCACATGCTGCTCTCTGTGTATGGGAAGATATCATGGGTCACCCCTCTTTACCAACACTGCTGCCCTGCCCCCCACTACTGCACCTGAACACCCTTCTACTCTGAACACTATTCCTGCACCCACCACTCCCACCCCCACACCTGTACAGCTCACCAAAACTCCACTCCCTCATCACATCATCACACCCAGCTCCATCTGGAATTATTTAAGTTGGTGACATGGTCTCCTTAAAAGGGGGCACCCAGTCCACCGCAAGGGTTAGAAGCTCTTCTATTCAGCAACTGCTGTCACATTGTCGTAGAAAGAGCAATACTGTTTCTAATATAGATCTCTGAGGTCATTGTCTTATCCTGAAACATATTGGCTTTCTTTCTATGACATATTTACCAACAATTAAAATTTCCTTTGACTTTTGTATCCAGTTTTGGTCTGGCGTTCCTTTCTGTTTTTCTAAAATTAGAAACTTTGTCTGTGTCAAGGTAAAAAAAAAAAAACTTTCGCTGTGTGTCCCCCTACCCCTCCCCAACACTTGCTTGAGTCCCACATCGATGCAGCACTGTGCCCAGAGTTAAGATTTAAAAGTCTATATTTTTATTTTTTTAAAAGTCTTCTACATACTTATTCTTGCTTACAGACAGACAAGGAGATGATCCCAAGAAAGAAAAGGAGTAACAGGGATTTATTAAAGGTGAACATCTTTGGACTCTGAATATTTTGGATTCATGGAAAGAAAAAGAAGACAAAATATATATGTCAATATATTTGGGAAGAATATGTTAAGAATGTATTTTTATACAAAAAAATAACATCCACAAATAACATGTGCCCTCTAATGTTAGGCACACATAAAATGGTTGTTCCAATACAATAAAAGGTCCGATGTTTGTTGGCTGTAAACCATCACAAAAGATCCTGTACACCTGGAGCCCATTATAGGCAGGTGTTTGGTGGAGTTTGGTGGAGGTGGGATTATGGTGTGGGGTTGTTTTTCAGGGGTTGCTCTTGGCCCCCTAGTTCCAGTGAAGGGAACTCTTAAGGCATCAGCATACCAAGACATTTTGGACAGTTTTATGCTCCCAACTTTGTGCGAAGAGTTTGGTGATGGCCCCTTCCTGTTCCAACATGACTGCACACCAGTGCACAAAGCAAGGCCCATAAAGACATGGATGAGCAAGTTTGGGGTGGAGGAACTTGACTGGCCTGCACAGAGTCCTGATCTCAACCCCATAGAACACCTTTGGGATGAGCTAGAGTGGAGACTGTGAGCCAGGCCTTCTCGTTCGACATCTGTGCCTGACCTGACAAATGTGCTTTTGGAAGAATGGTTTAAACCTTTTCATAGACCACCCTCCTAAACCTTGTGGACAGCCCTCCCCAGAAGAGTTGAAGCTGTTATAGCTGCAAAGGGCGGGCCAACTCAATATTGATCCCTATGTACTAAGACTGGGGATGCCATTAAAGTTCATGTGCGTGGGAAAGGCAGGCGCCCCAATACTTTTGGCAATATAGTGTATCTTGTTCCTCACTCCCGAAAGGAAAGAGCACAGCAGGTTCTTAGATTCCATTGGAGATGCTTCACAAGAACTGAAGTTACAATTTCCATTGTTTATGGTTTCCAGGATTTTCTATCTTGAATCTTAAATTGATACGAAACACACACTGTTTAATTTACTTTATCCCTTCTCTATCTGTATGTGGATGTAATTATTTTAATAAAAAACATCTAAGTACCTTTTTCCCTAATCGATATACAGCTGTCACATGACCCAGTATATCTCCCAGCCTGTCTGCAGGGAAACAGAGGCAGGAGGAGCTTCTAGTCCTCACATGTTACTGGTCACATGTTTAAAGTGAAAACCCCCCCCCCCCCCAAAAAAAAAAGCCTTTGGGATACTGAGTAAAAAATAAATAATTAATATAAATAAATTGTTTAGAATTGTCATAGAAATATATATTTGAGATGAAACTTTTATTATTTTAAATCTTTATTTTATTTCATTTGAATAACATGGTGTGGGCAGATTTCTGCCAGTCACAATCTGTGTCACTCCCCTCCAGCTGTGTCTTAGAACAAGAAGGAGGTGAAGCCTCTATCAATCAAGATGTAATATCCCACTCCCATTTAGTGTTTAGCTGGTTAGTGAGCATAGAGGTGGAGGAAGGGAGTGGGCTGTCGTTTATCACTGTGTATACGCACACATGTGTGACTCTATAGTCACATGGGCTGTTCAGATGGGGAGGAAATGTTCAGGCTAGAAATACACTGAAAACTGAGCTTGTGCAGTAGCTGCCAACACTGCTCTGCAAAATCCTCAACTACACTGGGGACATGGACAGAAGGGGAAGATAGAGAATCAACCAGGTTTTTTGTAGAATACAGAAAATGAATCCCATAGTGATTGGGTGAGTATGAACAGCATGTAACACCACATTTATTGATCATTTATAATGATGTGGGTTTATCGACACTTTAACTTCTTCAATACCGGGCACTTTCACCCCCTTCCTGTCCAGGCCAATTTGCAGCTTACAGCACTCTCACCCTTTGAATGACAATTGCGTGGTCATGCAACACTGTACCCAAATGAAATTTTTGATCATTTCTTTCGGTGATATTTAACCACCACTGGGTTTTTTATTTTTTGCTAATTAAACAAAAAAAGGCAGAAAATTATGAAAAAAAAAAATCTTTCTTCGGATCCGTTTAAAGAGTTTGCAAATAAATCATCTTTTTTCAAAAATGTAGCTAAAAATGTATACTAATGCATTTCTTTGGTGAAAATAACCCAAATCAGTGTTTAATATTTAGTCTGTAGGCATGTAATCGAGGCCACAAACTATGGTATATATCTGACAATTGATCAATCCTGATGTACTGACGACCGATATCATTTCTTGAGGCCCAAAAATGCTAGGACAGTTCAAATACCCCCAAATGACCGCTTTTTGGAAAGTAGACAGTCCAAGGTATTTAGTAAGAGGCATGGCAAGTTTTTTGAACTTTGCCATTGTGGCGGTGATGATTGATGACAGCATGTAAAAAAAAAAATAATTTTTTAAAACTTTCTTCTACTGTTTTTTATTACATACTTTCATCATAGTGACACTGTATTATTTTGTGGGGGTGATCAAGGATTTTGTTTAACACTGTTATTGCTTTGATTATTGATCACTGTTATTAGCAGTAGATTTATCTGTTTGTGATGATTACTGTTGTGATGCTGTGATTGGCTACAGCTATCACATGGTACCATGTGATAGCTGTGGGTCAATCACAGCATCACAACAGTAATCAAGCTGTCATGAATGGAAAGCCATCAAGCAGCAACTCAAGCAGCAGGAAGATACAAGAAGGAACTCTACTGCACGCTGGATGAACTGCAAGCAAACACCCTGGGAAACATCTCCTACAAGTTTGATTCCCACTCCATCTACCTTTTAATATGCCACCTCTACTCCTCCTTTTCATATCACTATCCTGTGTTCCCAAAAATCTCATTTCTTTACCCCTCTGCTCCACCCCAAAGCTTATACATCTCACCCTCACTACTACCATCTCCCTACTAGTGCTCTCGTCACCTCCTGCTGATACTTCACTCTCCTGCTGACCCAAACACCAGGACTGGAAGGCATTTGCACTCATATACAGTATATCCCGCTCCCATCTTACTTTCCTCATCTTCCTTCTTCTCCTAACCTCTGGGGATATTTCTCCAAACCCTGGTCCTCCACTATCTCACCCCCACACCAGGCACCCTCTTTCATCCGGGAATAGCCACAATCCCCTCAATTTAATATCAATCCCCGTGCTCCTAAAAACCACCCTCCCTTTTTCATGTGCACTCTGGAATGCCCTCTGTCTGTAATAAGCTCACCTCTGTCCATGACCTTTTTGTCTCCCGCTCCCTTAACCTACTAGCAATTACAGAAACCTGGCTTCAAGCAGCAGATTCTGCTTCTCTGATACCTTACCTTACAGTCCTCCACTCACTCTGATGGGAGTACATTAGACCTTGTGTTCTCCCAGCGTTGCACTCCCTACAACCTCACAAACACCCCCTTTCCTCTCTCTGATCACAATCTCATCACCTTCACAGTGTCCTCACCTTCAAACACTTTTCCCTTCACGTAGCAAACAATTACCCACAGAAATTTTCACAACTTAAATCCTTCTCTTTTCTACTCTGCAACTGACCACCCTTATGACAGAATCTCTCCCCTGTCCTGCCCTGACCAGGCCACTGCTGTCTACAACAGTTCACTTTCATCCATATTAGACTCACTTGCTCCTCTATAAACATGAAGCATCAGACTCCGACCATTACAACCATGGCAGACTGGCAACACCAGAAATCTTAAGCGACATAGTTGTGCGCTGGAGCGATTGTGGCGTAAAACCAAATCTCACTAAGCATTCACCTTATATAAATCTGTTTTCTTAACATACAATTCCTCCCTTCCTGCTGCCAAACAAGCCTACTTTGTCACTCTTATTAATACTGTACCTTCTCATCCAGTCCTCGTCGTCTCTTCTCTACTTTTAACTCTCTACTTTCTCCACCCCCACCCAGTACCTCACTCACTGCTTACGAGATTGCAAATCATTTCAAAAACAAATTGATGCAATTCGTAGGGAAATCTCCACCTCACAGACATCTATCCCACTTAGCATACCTTATACTAAACCTCCCTAAACACTTTCCTCTTTTGACCTTGCTACTACTGAGGAGTTCACTAAGGTTTTCTCAGAAGCACGTCTCACTACCTTCCCCCTGGATCCTGTCCCCTTCCAACTACTACGGTCACCCTCTTCTTCTATCCTATTCTCCCTCACTCGCATCTTCAATCTCTCCCTCTCTAACAGTACCTTCCCCACCCCTCTAAAGCATGCACACATCACTCCCATACTTAAAAAGCCCTCCCTGGACCCCACTAACCTGAACAACTTAAAACCCATCTCCCTGCTCCCGTTTACCCCTAAACTCTTAAAACGCTTAGTCTTCAATCACCTTAGCTCCTACCTCATTAACAACAACCTTGTTGACCCTTTACAATCTGGCTTTCGCTCACTCTACTCCACTGAAACTGACCTACTAAAACTCACTAATAATTTACAAACTGCTAAAACCAATGGCCACTACTACATACTCTTACTACTTGACCTCTCTGCGGTCTTTGATACTATTGACCATCCCCTCCTCAAAAAAAAACCTCCACTCTCTTGGCCTCCGAGACTCTGCTCTCTCCTGGTTCTCCTCCTACCTATCGCAGTGCTCCTTCATTGTTACCTATAACTCTGGCTCCTCCTCTCCACTCCCTCTTTTTATAGGGGTCCCTCAAGGTTCTGTCCTTGGACCCCTACTCTTCTCCATCTACACCTCCTCCCTTGGTCACTAGATAAACTCGCATGGCTTTAAGTACCATCTATATGCTGAAGACACACAAATCTATCTTTCTACTCCTCATCTCACCCCTTCAGTCTCCTCTCACATTACTGACCTACTAAGTGACATATGGCATAGATGTCACTCCACTTCCTCAAACTCAATCTTTCCAAAACTGAGCTCTTAGTATTCCCTCCAGCCCGTGCCACCTCCCCTGACTTCTCCATCAAGATCAATAACACAACCATCAGTCCCTCCCCTCATGCCAGGGTGCTAGGTGTAATCCTAGACTCCCATCTGTCCTTTCAGCCCCAAATCCAATCACTGTCCAAATCTTGTAGACTTCACCTCCACAACATCTCCAAGATATGCCCGTTCCTAACCTCTGAAACCACTAAGCAACTTATTCACTCCCTGGTTATCTCTTGCATTGACTATTAAGCCTATCCCCTCTTCAGTCTATCACGAATGCTGCTGCCAGACTTATCCACCTTACTTACCGGTACATATCTGCCATCCCTCTCTGCCAATCCCTCCACTGGCCTCCACTCAGTGTCCTCCATCCCTCTCTGCCAATCCCTCCACTGGCCTCCACTCAGTGTCCTCCACCCCTCTCTGCCAATCCCTCCACTGGCCTCCACTCAGTGTCCTCCATCCCTCTCTGCCTATCCCTGGCTTCCCATTTCCCAACAGATAAAATTCAAAACATTAACAATCACATATAAAGCCACTTATAACTCCGCCCCAAATTACATCACCAATCTTGTATCCAAATATCACCCAAACCGTCCCTCTCCTCTCCTTGCACGACCTCCTGCTCTCTAGCTCCCTTCTCTCCTCCTCCCATGCTCATCTCCAGGACTCCAGAGCTTCCCCCATCCTCTGGAACTCTCTACCCCAATTTATCAGACTATCGCCTACTCTGCTCACTTTTGGCGATCTCTGAAAACCTCTCTCTTCGGGGAAGCCTGTCCTGCCTTCAGCTAATAATGGAATCTTCTACTCCTCTTACCAGTCCATCCCCCAAAGTTACTACCTTTTGTACCACTAGCCCTTCTCTCTTAGATTGTAAGCTCCAAGGAGCTTCTAACCCTCCTAACTCTCTTGTATTGAACTGTATTGTTGCTGTATTCTCTCCCTTTATATTGTAAAGCGCTGAGCAAACTGCTGGCGCTATATAAATCCTGTATAATAATAATAATAAGTAAACCTATAGGTGTTCACATAAATATCATATACCATGCAGCGCTTAAATTATTCAACAATATCCTCTAAGTGTGCTTAAATATTGTCTCTGTTTAGCCAAAATGATTCAAGTAATAAATGAATATTCAACAATAATACAGGTAGGTGATGAATTGTGACAGTCTCTTAGATATTTAAATCATAGTATGGTGACTTCGGTGATAAATATAGCTGTAGAATGCACTAACCAGATAGCGCTTAATATTGCGCATGTAATAGATGTTATTAGGTCATCTGGGGTTGGGCATCCAGAACACAGATTTGTTGAAGAACGCCACCAGAAATAGTAGTATTTCAGCCAATATATCCAGGTTATGCGATCCAGATCCACCAGGGGGAGCCAGCGGTCTAGATGTCATCCAGGATCCAAGGCTCAAAGAACACACAGATGAATATCAGATTGGTGCAATCTCCCAGAGGGTGCCAGTGATTAATGTGTCATCCCAGGGGGTCTTCCTCTCCTTTCCTCTGTTGTAAATGGAATATGAGGGCTCTCAGATGGAAACACTATAGTGGTTTCAGCTTGTAGTCCTGTATGAGTTAAAGTTCTGAATTATGCTGATAGAAGAGAGTGACAGATGAGCTCATTGTGCTGCTTCTCCTTTCACTGTCCAGTCACAGGCTGGGAACAGTCTGGTATGACCTGGGCTCAGAGGAAGTAGTATGAATGATGCTGGCCTTCAGGCTGAGAACATCTAGCAACAGAAAAAAGTGCTGCTGGGGAAATTTCTGAAATGAAACTGGGGGCTGTGAATTGGTTCCAGTTTTCTGAAAGTCCATCCTCACCATCAGGGGCTCTGGTGAAGAAGCAGGCTGGGGCTTAGATGCTGTGCCCTGGGGAACCCCAAGTTGGCAATCTACAATGGCTATAGTGACAAACAATAGTGCAACGCTGTCTCCTTCTGGTGACCCCAAGGGGCCAAACAGCTTTCAGGATCACCCTGGTGGTGAGACCCACCACACGAGGATTGGTACCAGCCTTTAAGATAAAGGATCCAGGGTGATCCTGAAAGCGGTTTGGCTGAAGACCGAGGATTTCCTTATAAATAATTATATTAGCACTAATAATACAATAAAGATATTCCAGCGTATAC